CTTTAACCCCTAATATTATTAAACAAAAAAATAATTTAATTAAAATGTATAGTAATCACTAGTTACATAAGAATTATGATTGTATACTGACAAAATATGCATTATTTTTTATCTAAAATAAATTATATTACTATTATTAGGAAAATATTTCATAAGCGACTGGGGAAGATTGAAAAGTGTTAGGCCCGACACTCGCTGATGGCACGGGGCGGAAGGGCTTACGACTATGACATTAAAGCTGCAATTTTAATGACAATGATCGTAGTTGCAAAATGAAGCTGCGGCCTTAGAATAATAACGCGTAGAAACCTAGTCCGCACACGCTAAGTGAGGCAAACTGAAGCGCGCCCAATGGGCCTACACGAGCGGGCGGGCCTTCAGTGCTCAAGGTCAACTTGCACCGCGAACAGATCAAGAATTTTAGCTAAAAATGACGAAATGTGCGGTAAATGAGTGTAAAAATACGTCAGACAAACATAAAATAGATACAAACATCACATTCCACAAGGAAGTAACGCGTTTCAACTTGTATTTTTATATAAATATTCACTAAAACCGAAAATTTACCTACTACTAACACTAGCCTACATGAATTTGATTTTTGCCTCACTTGTGACAGTTCATTTGATATGAAACTATCATTCCATGCCATTATGCATTGACTTTGTCAATGATTCTATGCGTTATTATTCTAAGGCTGCGGCACGCTTAGGGATGTCAAGCCGGCAGTCTCTGGAATGCCTCGGCAGCCTTCGGGATGCTTCGGCAGCCAACCACTTGACAGTCGGGCGCGCGAATGACATGCTATCACGGATTTATATACTTCATAAACTGGATCGCTCACTTCAATATACCAATATTACAAATTTACACCTTATTGGGTTATGTTAAGGTGGGTTTTAAGTAAAAGTGAAAAACCGAGTCACGTGAGACAGCTCGAAATAGTGGTCTGTCCTTGGCTAACAAGTTGCCAACGCTAAATCTTCTTAGGTAGTGTCTAGTCTAACAACTTTTTAAAATTTTTGATATACGTATATATTTGCTTAAAGGTATTAGGGATGCTTTTACTGTAATAATACAAAATAGTTATTTTTGATCCGCACTTGTATCAAATGTAGTTATCATTATTCACGAGTCTCGAGTGAAATGACAAATTCGCACGTGTATTTTTAATACATATGCGAAAAAACTACATTGAACAAAAACAAAAGAAAATGAAAAAGGCGGGAATGTAAATGAAAAAAAAGTTTGTACTTTTTTGTGGCCGTTTTTTTTCAATATGGCAACTGTTGCCAGTATTCAGTTACATTAAAATTACTATTTTTGGGCGCGGCGTGCAGCGGTCTCGCGTCATTCTCACCTCCGGTCATTGTTAATACTCAATCAGCCATCTTTAAGGAAAATATTTTGGTATTTTTAAATGTAACCCGTTGTTTTATAAAACACCTATGCAATATATACAAATATTTGTAAATAAATATAAGTTTTAATGACGAATGGCTTACGTCACAAAGCACATAAATATTAAATAAATATTTCTATAAATAATTCTAACAAATATAACTTGAAACAACAGTAAATTTGAAAAAAATTGAAAAAGTAAAAAGCACTAGTGCGAAAAATCCAATTTTCGGCACGATTTGTAAGTACGACAAATACGACGCTTTGAGCAACTGCATTAAAAAATATATATATATATATATCAACAATGAAACCTTTTATAAAGTAGCACATCAAATAAGTATACCAATTTATATTATGAAATAATATTTGTACTTTGGCATCCATAAGCGATCACATTTTCTGTAAAAACTAAAAACTAAAAAAACACCCTATTAGAAAGAGACGCATTACTACTTTGAAGCTTCTCACTCGGCTCGTTTTATTAATTTAGTACGCGGTCCAGTTTAATATACAAGTCCGTGCACCTTAGTGATAGTTTTTAATATTTCATTCCGCAGCCAGAAGTAAACCGTTTCCGCGTCAAATCACGCGTGCATAAAGGTGATAAATTCATCACTGTAGGCATCCGGTTCCCCGAGCAGTGGTCTGACTTCTTCTACAGCACTTTTTACGCCGTGTTCGCAAAGGGAGGAAGAAGGAGCAGCACTAAGACTATCAAGTTCTTGATTATACGTAAGTGATTTCATAGACTTCACACAGATCTCGCTACATCAAAACCAAAAACAAACATCTGCAACAAGCACATAGAAAAATTCATAAAGTTTGCTGGTTTGTCCCGTAGCTCTGTTAGGAGAGCGTCAGACACGCTTCCGCTGGTTCGAATTCTGCCGGATCGAAGGAATATTTCTTAAGGCGGCTTCCCACGGCCCGAGGCCGCCCGGACTGGACCGTGGGCACGCACCATTAGTGTTCGATCTTTGCATTAATAAATATAAAAAACAAGTGGAGTAATTTCACAAAATAATTTAACATCATTTATTTATTTATTTATCGAAGAAAACCAACGGCGTATACAAAGAAAAATGTGTACAGAATGCTTAAACTAAAAGTAAGGCTAATAACAGGTTTCCCTAGTTTGAAACATACCGAGGAAAACAATGTAATTCAGTAACTTACGAGCATGTATAGTAGAACCTTAAGTATTTGACTGAATTAAGTTTAGATCTTAAATATTTTAAGTAAATTAAGTACTTTAATAATTAACCTTCAGTATTTTAAGTTGCGAAAATCATAATAGAAAAATAAGTTATAAATTAGATACATTAAATACATTACATATGTACAACTCGTAGCTATCATAAAGAAAACAGAAAACAGAAAATGACCCATTGAGCATACTTTCATTATTAATGCCATATACAGACTCTCACTATGTAAAGATATTTCCTTATATAATATATAATTGACTTATATACCCACGCATAAACAAATCGTAACGAATTCTTTACTTGATGTTTGTTAAGATCATAGTAGTAAAACATTGTGATATTCAATAAACTTAATTATGTACTTATTTGTTATTTTTTTATTGACCACAGCCGACGTAAATGAGGAGTAATATTTTTTCTTCTCTTCTTAAAGTGCCTCTCCACTACTGGAGGTTGGGCATCAATATGGCAAATTTGTCCTTGCCCAAGACCAAACGAAACAATTGTTCTGCGCTCGTGTCGTGACTTCGGTTGTTGCGTAACCATGACTTTACGTCTTCTCTTGCCTTCAACCTTTCCAATCATTATATATTGAAGCAGTGTCTATCGTGTCGAAGCACGTGACCGAGATATGTTATTTTGCGCTTCTTAATGGTCTGCATCAGTTGGCATGAATTGTCAATGCGCAGGAGTATTGACTCGTTCTTGACTTTCTACATCCAGCTGCTACGAAGCATGAGACGTTATCACCACATCTCGAAAGCATCGAGACGCTATTTGGTTTCTTCTCTCATGGTCCATGCATCGCTGCCGTACATAACAAATGGCCAGATATAACCGTGGAGGATGCGCATTCTAAATTGTATGCAAAGTTTTCGGCAGCCATCGAGTATAGGTATAACCAGAAATAGAGACAAAATGTTATTTAATTCGTTTGAAAACTATTTTGTCAAATCATTACGGTGACAACTGCGCTCCGATTGGCCAGCCCGAATTCGAAACAATTGACGGGTGTCGTCAATTGTTTCACTTCAAATAGACCAGTTTAACTTGAGCTTTGCTATAATGGACGAAAATTGAAAAATTACATACTTAGTATTCAATTATCGATGAAATGTGATTCCGTTTGTTTTGTAATTAGAATATGTTTTGCTGTTTTTCCTACACCACCGAACGGGACAGCCCTCCAGTTAGAGATGTTATCTTTATTACAATAAAGACAGAATATTTTTGGAATAATACGAAGACGCACACACAAGTCAGGTGTTGGCGCTGTACTATTTCAGGTTTCTAATTTGTGATTTCAGTGCAAACGAGAGTTGATATTTACAAATGATATAAGGCCCATTTGCCTGATGAGTTGCCAGGAATGAATGGCCCTTATTTTATCTCTATTTCTGGTTATATACTCGATGACTGCCTCCTTGGCCCAACTGACGCGCTGTTCACACGAAGTCACCTTTTTGGTTTGATATACACGCAGCCGATACGATATTGGCACCGAATCGACTGCCGTTTTGCTGCTGAAATCGCGTTTGGATACTTCAAATCCACACAGAGAGTTGCACTGTTCAGGTACCTGAGTCATGTTGTGAGGGAGCGCAGAGAACTGTCGGTTCGAGGCAATATGTTGGCTCATAGATTCACGCAGTTTAGCTTGGACCAACTTTATACTGAGATAGTTTTATTAAAAAAATAAGGAAACTTACTCGTGTAAGTTTCGAGTCGCCTATTATTGTATCTCATACTTTCCATCTATTCTGAAACATTGAGCTGATATTCTTTTTTACCAGTGCCAGCAACAGCGTTCGTGCAAGTACAGAAACTCATGCTCGCATCCAAAAAGGTTAACAGCACGTCGGTTCCATATCGTTGCCCAAGATGTCACTTGCAAGGAATCATGGTCAGACCTCCGGATGGCTTCGTTCGTAACGTCGACCCCTCAAAGTATAAATTAAAGGACGTAATTGACAGGTGAGTTATAAGTTAGGCAGATGAGGGAGACGTGTGACATATTACGTGGGGAAGTTTGACAGATGAGTGTAAACCAATTTAAGTCATTTAACACCACATTACAATAAATGCAGAAGAAGTGGTTAGTTAGCATCCGACGCGTGTCAACAGTAGGTCTCGAAAGACCTACTTGAGCTCAGTCCTCCAGTTTCGCTTTGTATGGTATGGTTGTTTCATTCTTACGCGCAAATTCTCTAAAATCGCAGAAAAATGCCCTATTGTGCTGTTTTGGAATGCAAAAATTATAGCCGCACCAAAAATATTATTATTATTAGTAAGTCTTATTTTAATAAATTTTCTGTTTGTCGAATTGATTCAGATGTTAATCGTTCGTCGTAGTTCAGCTACTGGCCGCAAGATGCCAGCACGTTGAATAAAATTTCAATATAAAATCAAAACGAAAAAGAAATTAAATAATCATGAGTTGTTGTCGACAATTTTATCGATAGATTGTTAAATTAGGTAAAATTTTGCCAAACATTTCTGGATTGTGGTAAAGACGTTTTAATGAATGAGTAATTGTGTTATTGCAGTCTTTATTCCTATTTTGACAGTTGGTCTATTATTATTATTATTATAAATTTTATATAATATTACTTGTAATTTTTAGGAGTGGAAAACCGTAAGTATATTTTTGTTTTACATTTAGTAGAGGCGAAGCTGCAAAACCTGGAACACCGCTGCAAAGTTTCCTGCTTATCAATATTCTACAGGATAATTATATCACGGAGAACTCGTGACCAGACCAAACCAGTAACTATCAAGATATTTTTTGTTTTTGATCACTATCATGTTATTCAGTATTCCAATGACATATTCAAGATAATAAATTAAACCATTTTTTTACTTCTCGACAAATGTAATTCCACAAAATTTTGAATTCGGGTTTTTTTAAATATATAAGATCTGAGAGAGATAGAGAGGGCAGAGGTAATTAATTAACATTTTATTTTCAGGCGACAAGTGTTAGAAATTCAATTGTGGTTCCTCAAGCCGGTAGACTACGGCGATTTTTATGCTCTCATACAAAACGCTGATGGAGTCGAAGAAAGAGTCAAATTGCTATCTCTGCAAAGTAAGTTTCACAATAATCGGCATTTTGCAGTTGGCCCCAGTCAATAGGTGAGCTGAACAACCTCAATGTTGGGGCCGCACTTGTGTCTATCGTCACCATCGAGTATATAACCAGAAATAGAGACGAAATATCATTTAATTTATTTGAAAACTATTCTGCCAAATCATTACTGTGACAACTGCACTCCGACTGGCCAGCCCGAATTCGGAACAATTGACGGGTGCCGTCAATTTATTCACTTCAATACGACCAGTGAGCTTAGCTATAATGGGCGAAAATTTAAAAATTACACATTTAATTACCTATGAAATGCCAAACGATTCCGTTTGTATTGTAATTAGATGTTTTGCTGTTTTTCCCACGCCACCGCTTGGAACAGCACCCCATTGACAGAGATATTATCTTTATTACAATAAATACAGAATATTTTTGGGATATACGGAGACGTACATACAGGTCAGTTGTTGGCGCTGTACTATTTCAGTGCAAGCGAAAGTTGATATTTAAAAGTGATATAAGGCCCATTTGCCTGATGAGTTGCCAGGGATGGATGGCCCTTACTTCGTCTCTATTTCTGGTTATATATTCGATGATCATCACGAAGCAATGATCGATAAACACTTTGTCACATGGGTCTCGCGTAATTAAATATAAGGTTCGGTTCACATAAATTTTATTATAGAAATATAGAAAGGGAAGGTACAGGAAGGAAAAGAACAGGTAAGGTAAAGGCTGTAACAAAACATACCTAATGATATAAAAACAGATACAATCGTATAAAAACACTGTCTACTTAAATTAAATACAGGTTATGGTAAAAAGGAACTTACCCTAAAAAGGCCTGTATTTTCTACAAATATTACGCTTTACAAGTTAGGTTACTTGATTTAACTGGTCAGAAGGTTATGTGAAGTCGAGCTCGTGTGCTCGTTTTGGAAATTCACTAGGGCGACGGAAAGAAGAAAAATAAGTGCGATGAAGAAGAAAAGGAATTTAAGAACGATTCAAAATTCCAAAGTAGGTGGCGAGGAACCAAAGAAAAGTGTGATAAATAGGTGGGATGACATTGTGACAGCTTTATTCACGAATATGACTCAAATACAGATTGAATACAATAGGAAAAATAAAACATTTTTGTCACAGCAGTGAAGTTGATAACGACTTCACGCATTAACTGCATGCAATCGAAACTCGACTACATGCAGTTGAGACTTCGACTTGAAAAGGTTATAAACCCTAATGAGCCGTGATCAGATTCACGGCAATAAAATAAGAAAACTTCAGGTCCACAGAAATTTATTGTAAAGTTATTTGTGAAGGAAAGTAAACAAGAAAAGGTAGGTATATAAAAACAGGTACAACAGTATAAAACACTCCCGACCTTAAATACTAAACGTAGACAGACATTTATATATTACATATATTATATTACAGATTAGTATTAAAATTGGCACATGATTAGCAATAGTTATTACAGATTGGTATTAAAACTGGTAAAAGAATCAAAATCAGACGCAAATAAAATTAGAGCTACTGTTCGCTGGAACGATTGAGCAGGGAATGGCGATGGAACGAAACAAAATCAGAATGGCGAGGCAAAGGAATTACAGAACGATTCAAAATTTAAAAACAAGTGGCTAGGGACCGAAGAAAAGGTCGATGACGATGTAAGGAGGTCACATCGTCATAAACTTCAAGCATCAATGTGAACGGTGGTCCGAGAATCTAAAGTAGTAATTGACATTCTTGCGAGGATATATAATTACTTTTTTGCGTCTGAAACAACTTTTTTTTAGTAATGAAAAATGGTAATAATTATGTGAAGAATTAATCAACATAATGGTAAAACAGCAAAATACTCAAATAACTTCGGCTAGTTCAATTTTCAATACAATGATCAATTTAAAATTTTTAACGCTGAACCTTATTCCAGCACCTGGTAAGTACACAGTCACAAAAGTAAATTTTAAAGAGATTGAAATAAGGGATGAAAATTTGCACGGAGAACCAATAAAATTATGAAAATTATAGTACAGTACGCTATTTGAACTACTTATTCCACGCAGAGGAAGTCTGAGAAGCGAAATCACCAGCTAGTAATAAATAAATGTTTTTTTTTATTATTTAAGCTTTTCACAAATGCCGTTTTTTGGTGTCCATACTTTTCAAAAATAATAATTTTGTCTATCTTTCTGGACTCAGTCGGTTACGACTTGTGTTGGGTTATGGAAAATTTCCATTTTGAAAAAATCATATTTTTCAGAAAAATAAATAACCTGATATTTTTCCATTATTTTTCCTATAATTTTCCATCATAATTATCAAAACTTGAAGGTACTGTACAAAACCGATGGAGTCACTATGAAGGTTTTTTCGCTGTTGCGAAATCATCATAGATCTCTTTTTTCTTTTATGGCTTTTAGAAAAAGGAAAAAGAAAGTTTATTTTATAATTCCACGATATATAAATATTTAAAAGATATTTCTAAACGTAGAACATATGAGCCTTCGAAATTATATTTTTCGAATCTTTCAAATTTGTTCAATTTATCCGGAATTTTTCGGAAAATTACGCAACAGTAGCAGCGACTGTCATTTAAAGTGACATGCCAATTTAAAATTGCCATTTAAAAAGACGTTCAGATGGCACACAAGTCGCGACAATCGCCTAATATCGTAGACTTTATTGTGTGTACTTAGACATTGTCACACTACTTTTCTTGTGTACCAATATAAAATAATAATATAATACTAATAAATATAATAAAAATTCATTATACATTAAATAGCATTAGCCTTACGATGCAGTAGGGATTTCGAAAGATACTGTTTTGTTTAAATTGTGAATATGATTTAAACAATTCAATTTGACTTAATATAGAATCGATTTGCATAAAATAACCAATTTATAATAAATAACTAATTTACTAACCAATTTATGGATCACGTTGTCCGAAATAAAGAAATAAAGATGTAAATAAATAAACAAAATTCGCAGTTCAATGAAGTCAGGAATCGATACAAAAAACCGCTCGATCGCATAAGCTTGAATCGATCTTCATAAACATCGAATCGGAGCGTCATAAATCGAAATGTAAATTCTAGAAAAGTCCAAGAAAAGAAGTACATACATGGGTATGAAATTAGTTGTCAACAAGCTGGACAGAGTTCACAAACAAGACCTTTGATTTCGAGTATCTAATAGATATTACCCCTTAAATATTATAAGTGCTAATTAGATTTGTTTTTTTCATATATATTAATGATTTTGTGTTCTCTATTCCAGAAAAGGGTAATTATTATTAGCTTTCGCACAAAATAATTAATTTTAAAAGTTAAAAAATTAATGATAATTTTGATTTCTTCTCAGATACCGGTAAGTTATTATTTCAAATATAATAAAAATATTTTTGCTGCTTATTCTTTTCAATATTATTAATTTTTGTTTTCTATACATACAACTTTACAGAAAAGCGTAAGTATGATTTTTAATATTATTCATTGCAAAAGCCATATAGTCCACTAAATTTGAAATTTGCGTAACTTTTTTTTTTTTTTTTTTTTTATTCTTCAGCGCAATCTCAGACTATTAAAATATAATTTGTAGACCCTTTTTTAGTCACAAAGTAAAGGTATAATCATACATTATCATATAAATATTCTATTAATTCTGTCTGTTTTTTGTGCCTATTCAAAGTTCACATCATTGGCGTTTTTTCGAGATTTACGAATTTAGCTGACGATATGATGTTGCGTGAGTGGTGGCTAAAGGTACTAGAGTTTAAAAATAATATTAGAAATCAAAATGCTTAGCCAGCATGATAGGAAGAAAACATGGTTATAACAAGATCCATCAATGAATGTTTTGCAAACTTTATAATAAAATTGGCTAAGTAGGTATTAAGTACTTCTACATAACCCAATTACCTATTTAAATTCGAATTACGCAACCAGGCCGTGGGCAAAGCTTGCTTAAAATAACGAGTATTGCCAGGAAAATATTCTTAACAATACAATAATTAATTATTGCCACAATTACACTTTTTCACCACAATCACATATTACCAAGAAACAGACAATAAACGATACGCCATACATGTCAGGGGGCAAACGGAGGGGTCTCAGCTTGCAACGGCTGTTGTCGTAGGCAGCGCTGTTTTTCAGCCACTTCGATGTTTTTTTTTATAACATCATATATGTATATTTTATCTTAGGCGGGTATTAAATGCAACGACGGCCTAAAACAATTATACAAAATTTGAAAACTGTGATTCATTATTATAATTTTTTTTTTATAATATATGAAGATAAAATAAAAATAAAAGAAGAAAATAAAATAAGAATTAAAAATTAGAAAAATAAGAAATTACTAACGAGGGTCTATTAGAAGCGCAAAACCGAAGGCGAAGTTGAGGGCTTTAATAAATCGAGTTTTGTATTTTTTTACCGTCCGTTGTACATACAATGTTTTTCCTCACATTTGCATGTAAATAAATACAATGTTTATTTCTTGTAATGAATAAATTTATGGTTCACAACACAACAATTATGAATTTTGCAATTGGCGGGTATTTTGATTTTTCTTATCAATAGATATCCAGCTGGATATTCTACCATAGATAATACAACTTGAACTAAACTGTTGTAAAAAGTAAAGATGCATACAGCCTTGATGAATTGTAAAAAAAATGATAAATTAATATACAGAAAACAATTAAAATCAATTATAAAAAATCTTATAAACAGGTATTTATGTAGATTGTGGCTAAATTGCAATAAAATTTCTGTTTAGAGAACATTTTAAGCGAATGTTTTAATTTTGATAAAAACTCCTTACTGACCATGGCTGTAACAGGAAGAAAAAAGGCCCGAGAGTTTTATTTAGGGCATTATAGTCAAGTTAGCCGCTATGCAATCACACTATTTACGAGCAAGTTTGATGAGAAACAAAATAATACACTTTTACACCTGCCATTTTTGTATTAAACATTCTATATCGGCTTTGGCTATATTACGTTACACAATTGACATCAAATTCATTAATCTATATACAATTTCGTTACAAAAATGCTAATGCTATTCCCTTCCGCAGCGCTGTAAGTTGAATCACGTTATTGCGATTAATAATTATAATAAATTAATTATTTCAGAGATAAAACTAAAAGCATCCACTCAAAGTTTGCGCCTCGGTGAAAATTTCGACAAGTCCGTTACATTCGAATGCCAGGAGTGCGAACTTACAGATGTCACTTGCAACGGACACAGTGCTATAGAAGCCGGCAAAGTCGTTGTAGTTGCTGTTTCCAAGACTATTCAGTTCCACTTTCCAAGGTTAAAAGTTTATTTGGCACGTTGCTATTTAGAAATATAGTAGTTTATGTGACTTACATAACGACAGGCATTAAAATACGTGTGTGTTGTTGTTGTATCATATTGTTGTATCATGTTATATCATAAAAACATCACACGACTGATTCAATTCCAAATTATGTACAGTTACATACACTGCTTTATTTACAAACATATTATAAGCTCTCTGTGATGTGTTCAGGAACCGCATGTTACGACTGGCGAAATAGCGGTAAATAAAAACTTGTCTCACGCATGTTACATAACCGTAGTTTTTATTTAATTCATAGACAAACTAGAGCCGGCCCCAACTATCATATCGTTCGAAATCAAGTAGCGTGTGTTTAATATGCGTCATTACAAGCTTGCAAAACGAGATGGATAGTGTGAAATTTTGTATATATATGATATTTTGTACTATTTCGCGACTGACAAATATTACAATACATAAATTAACTAAATGCCACAACAATAATACTTAACGAATCAATGTGAATAATTTAAAACTTTAAATTTATGTTCACACAATTAGTCAAATAGCGAAATATGAGCAATACATCTGCGTTCGCCATCTTGAATGTTTGACAACCGACTAAATGATGTGCAGCGTCTTCACCGCACATCTGTGAAACACAGTGTGTGCATGGAATGCCACACCTAGTAAGCTAGTACATAGATATCGTTGATAGCAGAAGAGCTCTTGTGAAAGAGTTTGTTCAGGGAAGTACTGTCATCTTTACCTATTTCTGGCGCCAAGCAGTAATTGTGAGCATTACTGCGTTCCTTGTTAGTAGGATAAGGGTACTGGTGAAATTGAAGGTGCATGGGACTTGGCAACTTATGTCTCAGGGTGACGGGTGCAGTGGCAATGCTCGTCATAACTTTGTGATTTAAAGTTCTGTTATGGACAGGCGTGTAGCTTATCATCAGGCGACGACGCGTCCCGTTACTTGATACTATAAAAAAAAACCTTAAAAACAAGCTGGAATAATTTATAAACCTTCCAGAAACAGATTGTAAGCCGAGAAAAAGCAGCTCAGCTGTTGTTTTTTTTTAATGTAACTTCCATAAAATTCCAGAAGAATCAAGATACATTGATTGATTATTTTGGTAAATGTCACAAAATCATTGAAATAATATTTTATTTTTTATATTATCTTATATATTATATATCTTTTATATTATATATTTTAATAATAGTATAGTAATGCTAACATTACTGCTTGGCGGCAGAAATAGGTAAGGTGGCAGTACTTCCCTGGACGAATTCTTTCACAAGGAGCTCTACTAAAGGTCATGACTAGAACACCCGCAATGAATATGAGCATCGATTAATGCGGATGCTGATGTGGATGCGGAAATTTTAATTATGCCGATTATCCGTGGATGCGGATCCGGATACGGATGCTGATATTTGGAACAACCCTGGACTGTACGGGCACCCAACTTGTGTATTATTTTGTTGTTTTAGTGATTGTGATTTAATTTATTTCTGTCCACAGATTTGAAAATAACGATGCATGCGTATATTCAGGTTTATTCGTGATTGGTGACAGCCTTATAAACAAAGTAATTATGGTAACAGAGGGTATGTATTCTAGTTTTTTAAGTAACCTTTTTTTATTGACTTAGGGTGGGGACGGACGCGGCTTTGTCATCCATTGGATAAGGGTTCGCGGGTTGGTTGGCATACCAAGTATTCCCAGCATGCCATTAACGATGGAGGGCGAACGGTAAAGTCCCTCAAAGGTGGGCCCATAGTGGCGTACAAGCGCAAGCGGGGCCGTGGATCGTAAATGACGTGGCCATGCGGGGTATGCGAATATACGGGTTTTTACTGAATGGGAGTCCCACATGACCACCGCGATTCCCCATTTATTGGCCAAGTTTTATGAAATCGGTTACCGAAAATTGCGCGAGATCAGATTCATCCCCTAGTTTGCCACCTTTAGAGGTGGAATATTTTCCTCAAAATTAATTTTGAACAAAAAAAAGAATTATCAAAATGGGTTCACAAATCGCGTTACATACATAAAAAAATACTGTCAAATTGAGAACCTCCTCCTTTTTTAAAGTAGGTTAAAAATATATGAATATCATGGTAGTCAACAGTTTTTTTGTATTTGCATGTATTTTTTTACTTAGGATTGATTCATATCGCGTAGACGCTACGCGACGCAGCGTGGGCTGCATTCAAGCGAGCAATGCAACGTAAACTTTATCTTCAACAAAAAAGGCAACATTTCATTAAACAAACAAATGAAAACGAAAATGCTGTAAGCGACGGCTGGCTGCAGAGAGCTGCGGTAGGCGCACTTTATAAAATGCAATATACTATAGAACATATTCACCACTAAATAAAGTATACATTTCTTCAAAAAAGGCGCTGCGTCGCCTACGGTAGGTTACGGTTGGCGACGTCGCTAACCGTCGGAGACTTGTTTCGCCTTCAGCAATGCAAAGTGTAACTTAGCTTCACAACAATAAGGTATATGTCTTCGAAAGGCATATTGCGTGGTAGATGCAATGTAGTATAGAATTTCATATTTACTAAACAAAGTCCATATTTCTTTGAAAGCAAAGCAAAAAGCAGGGCAGCGTCGCGCTGCGACGTCTCCCGCGGCCTCTACTGTGGTCGTGTTTAAACAATTTGTACATTATACATACAAATAATATTGCAAGGATGAGAAAGTCCCGGGTTTCATTACCGGTAGAACCAATTTCGGAAATGTACTTTTCTAAAGTGTTTTTGGCTTAGGTGTTCTGTAGCTCTTGGTGGGGTCAGGCGAACTTTGTAGCTCTTGGTTCCGGGTTTGACTCCCGGTAGAACCAATTTGAAAATGAACTTTTTCTAAAGTGTTTTGTGCCAGTGCCCGTAGCATGACGCCGCAATAAACCCATAATAGCCACATTTAGCTGTCAAATTAAATTGATAAAGCTGCTATTTTTATTTTTCACTATAGCGAATATGGCGAGTACCGTGACGTCACATTTTTGATGCACAGCGCGCGCCTCGATCAATGACCGCGAAACAATATCGCAGTGTCAAACATGGTCACAGCTGATTTTAAAACATTTTGGCAGTACTGCACGGTAATTTTATCAACGTAAAAATTGAGCGCAACAAACGAAATAAACGAAACAATAAAAAGAAACAGCATACGTAATATGACAGCATATCACATGCAATATGTGATAAACATCCCCGTGACATACACTCCATAAAGCTATGTTGCATTTATTAAAATTTTATTTTTTGATAATGAACGATTTTTTGTTTCATCATTACGATCGATTAAAAGCATCAACGATGCAATTAAAAGGATTACAATTTTCCCGGCCATGATTAAATGACAAAGATAAGCTATACACGCAATTTCACATATCCTAGTTCTTCGAAATGTATAACAAGCGTTTATTATCAAACGAACAAACAAAAGAACGAATGGTGCTAGTGCGGTATTTTACCGATTCAGTACTCACAATAAAAAATAAATTGTAATAATGACAACATCGTTATTGGAACTTTTGGGTTACAACTGCTTCACGTGAGACTGAGTATATGGAACTACTAGAAATAAACCGCTGTATCGACTGCATTATATATGCCAGAGGGAGGCTTACCACATACCGTATGCGATATACCGCCATGCTACACATGCTGGTTTCAAACAAGGGAACTCTCTATACTCCTTATGAACACCAGAACAATGAAATCCAAACAGGGGCATTACCAGAATATCTAGGCCAAAACCACTTCAGAAAAGCTCATTTTCCAAATTGGTTCTACCGGGAATCGAACCCGGAACCAAGAGTTACGGAATTCACTCCGCGGCACTACTCAGAACACCTAGGCTAATACCATTTAAAAAAAAATGTTCAAAATTAGTTCTACCGGGAACCGAGGCCGGAACCAAGAGCTACGGAACTCACTCCGCGGCATTACCCAGAGCACCTATGCCAAAACTACGTTAGAAAAGTAGATTTCCAAAATTGGTTCTACCGGTAATGAAACCCGGCCTTCTCATCCATGCAATATTATTTGCATGTATATTCTACAGATAGCTTAAACACGACCACACATCCATAAAGTAGATACAGCAAGAGGTCGAGCTTCGCCGGGCGCACTTTATAATATGCATTATAATATAGAACATTCTGTCTACTAAATAAAGTATGAATTGCTTCTATCAAAAGAGATTTTGCTTGGCTTTCATAGAAATATCGACTTTGATTAGTTTATTTTATATGTAATATTATGTATAATATTATATACTACATTGCATCTACTACGTAATCTGGATTTCAAAGGAATATACCTTATTGTTGAGAACCTAAGTTACACTTTGTATTGTCAGAGGCGAGACAAGGGGGCGGAGTCGTGAAGCACGACACGTCACGCGGGTTTACTATTTTGTTTTTTGTTGTTTGAAGAAATGTAAAAAGAAATGTTTCCTTATGCTGTTGAGGATAAAGTTTATGTTACCATTGCTCGCCTGAATGCAGCCCGCGCCGCGTCGCGTAGCGTCTACGCGATATGAATCAAGCCTTATAACAACTTTTAGACGATTTTTTTGTTTTTTAGCCGACCGTAAGTTGAACTTAATTAAAATTGAAATCAAAACTAAACTAAATCATGAATTAAGCTAAAATTCAATTGGACAGAGAATTAATGAACGATTGACATTGATTTACCTTACAAACATTTAGATTACATTTATATTAAATATGGGCTGGTTTCACAGCTGTCGTACGGTCCGTACGGACTGTCCGCCTGCGGGCCATTCGCAAACGTAGAATTCGCAGTGATCTGAATCTGCGTTCATTGAAGACACTCGCTTACAATGAACACACGGTGGCTTGTACGGAGTTCACGTGGAGCGTGTTCCGTACGGAGCAATACGCGTTGCTGTAAAACGATGTTCTAAAGCCAAACGTTTCTGTGCTCCGCGCGGACGCTCCGCAGATAAATCCGCACTGCTCAGAAACCAACCTTAGCTTTCAGTGGGCTCGCGGAATGGCAAGGGAATTTACTTTCATTTTTATTAATAAAGGATTATATTTTAATACGAAAAGTCCATCACAATATAGCCAGAAATCTTTTTTGACTTAGTATTATATACTAGTTATATACTAGTGTGTTATATACTAGTTATCTTTTTACTGTTTGTGTGAATAGATCATGTTTTAATTTTTTATACTTGTTTTTGTTTTGTTTCGTAATGATTTATTTATTTGTTTTGTTTTTCGTCTGTTTTATTTCTTTTGTGGTGTCATTGTGGTAAACAAAAAATATATTTTCTTTCTTTCTGTTTCTTTTCTTTCTTTTTTGTAGCTCAAACGATAAATAATTAAACTCACCTTTCAGATCCGGGTAAGTGAAAATATAATAATAAAAAAATATTCTTTTGATACACGAATTAATTCCAACCAGGCTTGCTGACAGATTGAGGCCTTTGAATGTATGTGTGGTATCACTCCAGAACAAATGCGAATAGGTTCGGTTCGATGCAGCGTGTAAGGATCTAAGTTTATTAACTATATCTGTAATTAAACATTCATCTAAATTATCACGATTTTGATAAATTAATTGATTTTAAAATCGGGACGTAACCGTTATTTACCTCGACGTTTCGGACGTTGCAACTAGCCGAGACGTCGAAATTAATTTTGCAACGTCTATGGTCTCGACTGTGTAAGTCTTAGAGGATGGAAAAAAGGTGTAAGTCTTAGAGGATGGAAAAAAATAAGTAAGTATTCTAGATGTGTCTAATTTTATTTGCGATTTCCGGCCGGAACTCGTTTACAATACATTGATTTCAACTTTCACGATTTTCCCTTCCCTTCGAGATCATGGACGTTGCAATTCGTCCAAAACTTCGTGGTAAGTAAAATATGTTTCTAAAAATTACAAACATAAATAATAATGATAGAACAATTGGTAAGGGTAGTAGCAATAGAGCTCCTTATGACGCTTCTTTGCTGACCTCGGTTCTTCGATTTGCACTAAGGGTACTGGATGAAGAGGTCCCGGGTTCGATTTCCGGTAGGACCAATTTAGGAAATGAACTTTTTTAATATTACTTCTGGGTCTGGGTCTGGTCTGAAGTGAATTCTGCTGCTCTGGTACTCAAAGTACAGGGAACCCCTAGTTTGAGGCCCAGGTTTGAGTGTAGTTGTCTGGCACATCCAGGGAAGTACTGCCACCATACTTATTTCTGGTGCCAAGCAGTAATGTGCACACAGTTACTGCGTTCGTGTGTGCAAAGTGAAGTTACAGGCACACCGGACTTGTCAACTTATGTCTCAGGGTGACGAGCGTAGTGGCAGTGTCCATTAAGATCTTTGCGATTTAAAACTCTGAATGGCACTCCAACTGCCATGGACAGGCGTGTCGCTTACCACCAGGCGCACGACTTGTTCGTCCCCTTACTTGGAATCATAAAAATGGGATCTGTATACAAGTTGTCAATTCTTTGTGTTTACCAGATCTTAAATTGCCAAAAATCAAGACCGTGCCACCACCTACTATTGGAGAGCCGTTCCAGAAGGGCGTCAAATACGATTGCAAAGATTGTCAAATTAATAAGGTATCGCATATAATTGAATATCATAGATAGATAGATAAACCGTTTGTTTGGATCTATAGACACACATACATAACAGAAAAATATGTAATACAATAAAAAGAAAAATAAACAGCAGAGTCGCAGCACTCCGAACTATGCTTCCGAATCCGAATGCTTAATTTACATTGTAAATTACCTTTGAGAATTCTATGAAAGTATTTTCACTCAATCTCAAGTCACTTTACAGTTACCAGAATTTAACAAGAGATGTCGCTTTATAAATTGTAATGAATATCATGAAGTTTTTATTACCATGACCAATTTTTTTGGGAATTACTCAACTAATTTGTTATTGTTAATGATCTAAAGGTGGAATGTTAATATTATTTGGAGACTCCTCTCTTCCATGTGACCATTGCAAAACAAAGCGAAAAAAAAACTCGAGCCATTTGCTCGTCGTCTCTCGTAAGGAGAGATTGTAATCCACGTGACTTGTGATTAGGTTACAAATACAAAGAACATTTCGGTAATTTATTATAACTGAGTTGAAATATAGTTGTGTAAATTGGTGTTTTGTTTGTTAAAATGATTGAGAATTATTAGCGGATAGACATGGTTTTGAGTGATGTTATGAAAATATCTTTATATTAAGTTAATAAAGTTTTAATTTATTTTGGTTTTCATTGATGTTTACGAGTGCCGTACCCAAGATCGAAATTCATTTGATCGATTATGAATGTTCTGTTACTGGTCGAATAAACGACGTCAAGTTTAATCGAATTTAAAGGAACTTTGTGTTTTTGTGTTATTGATCGCAAACAGTATTTGTCTATGCACGTTTGGTTGAAAGAGCTATTTACCTTGTTTACTTCTGGATCCTAAATACAATATTTGTTGTGGTAGCAAATTAAACATAAGTATTGATGTGAATACAATTCGCATTGTGAGTTGTGGCGCGCCCTAGTTAGAGTGTATGCACACGGGGTATTTTATACGCGCCGACGACACGCGTTATCTGCGCGTATACGCGCCGCAGGCGCGTTGTAGTGTAGCGATTCAAACGCGCACAAACATCGAGTTGCAAGCAAGAATCTTAATACTCCACTGGTGTTTACAGTAGAATTTCGTGTAGTTACTTCATTTCAAAAAGTAACTGAAATTCACAAACAAAACTAAAATTAAAACTATCTTTTATCAAAATGCGCGATGCATACGACTTCCATCGCATTTTTTTTATAATATCAAGTGACGGGACGAGCAAGTCGTGCGCCTGATGTTAAGCTACATACCTGTCCATAACAGTTGCAGTGCAACTCAGAGCTTTAAATCGCAAAGATCTGAGTGGCACTTGTCGGCGCGTATAAAATAAGGCCGTGTGCATAGGTTATAATGCACAAAAATAAATTTTCTTTATATTTATTTTTAAATATTCTAGGTAACTCTGAACGGGTCGCCACTGCCGTCCGTGAAACAAGCAAGACGTCAAGCTGGCAATGTCCATATTACAATCAACATCAACGGGGGCTCCGGAGGCTGCCCCAGTAAGTGAATAAAAACCAAAACGTAGCCCACGTTCAGCTGGAAATAAAGATCAAATCACGTATTTCGTACGAGCTTATAGTCCGTTCCAATCCATTTTAAACAAAAGTAAACAAAACTGTTTGGTTATAATTCTAAAGCAATTACTCAGTAAATCGAATAAGTAACACTTTCAACGTATATTTCGAAGATTTCGACTTGATATCTCATCACTTTTGCCAACAATATTCATTTGAATGGCATCGTCAAAAGGGTTTTTCAAAAGTGTGGTTATTTTTATCTACTTATAATACAAGTATGACTTGTCTATGGTTGCATAGTGCTGTACGAAAAAAAACATTCGGTTCATTCAATTAATATTTTTGTAATCGATTAGTAAATCGAAAATTTCAATCGCAATCGAACGAGTATCTAAATGTAAGGATTTGAAGGAATATTTAAAATTAGGATTTCGGAAATTTTAAATATGCTTTTATAGTTTATGTAACCACTAGTATGACTCTATTAAACAAATAAATTCATTCAATTAATTAGTCGATTTGTAGTTGGCATTACAATTGGCCATCACTAAACTGTCTATGGTCGGATCAGCGACTTGGTTTACCTTTTGTTTAAAATGGATTGAAACGAAGTATATCACCATCGATCCATTTATACGCTCCGCTGCTGGATACGAGTATCATCTCAGGAAACGCTGTAATTAATAGTGCCAGTGGAGGTAAAACTATCATTAATAACCATTAAATTGGGGGGGAGTAGCTGGTAGATGCACAAACGGCCAGGGTGGAGGTGGAGGCGGTGGCGGCGGCGGCGGCGGTGGCGGCGGCGGCGGATATACAGGAGGAGAGGAACGTGGTGGAGAGATTGATCTCGAGGTAACGTTATTTAAAACATGCTTTTTATCTCCTATCCAATCTCATCTGTCACTTAAATTTACAAAACAATGCTCTCGCCTTACAAATGTTATCTTTTACTAAAAGAGACAAATTTCGTAATCACTTTACAAATCGTATCTTTTACTCTAATAGACAAATAAAAAAAAAGCTTAGTTACAAATGTTATCTTTAGTCAGATCAGTATATAGTCAAAATTCGTATTAACCTAATCTAATGATTTGCCATTGGGCGACCACGGCTTTTAGAACTTCATAAATAAGCCTGAGCAGCTGCAATACCTATGTATAAAGCGGTTACATGCGGCTACTTTTAAAGCGATGCAAACGCGATGCAGTAGCGATGCAATCGTGATGCAGTCGCGCGATTACATCGCCCTGCCGTGTCAGACGTATCTCATGTATCTCACGAAACCTAGTTTTGAGAAAACGCTGTTTAAAGTCGTAATTTGTCTTTATTTTACGAAGATTTTATGCAATTATTGAAAAAAAAACGTAAACCTAAAATCTATAGCCAAAAATGCAGCGAGGCAGCTTGTCATCCTGTCCAGGATGAGGCGTTACTTCACACCGGGACAGCCCCGTATCTTCAACATGTGTTTTGATTATAGTGACCCTCCCAATCAATCTTTTGGTTATGCAGGAAGGACACTACAACCTGTGCATGACCGGGACCTTACAAGTTCAGGTCCTGACCCGAGATCAGCCCGTGTACAGGGTTGTTACAGACCGTTGCCACTGACTGAATCCGGCTCTCAAGAGGCTAGTGTCTCGAGTGAGCTGCCCCGGGTGCACGTACAATACCCTCCCTATTTTCCAGATAGGTACCGGAGCTGTTGGCACGCTCACTTCCCGTTGTGCAATACACAACTAACGGTTGCCACCACTAAGCCGTTGACTCTAAAGTCCACTACCAAATAACCTCTGGCGGAGCTGCTATTTTTTTCCAAGATCCAACGCGTTTGGAGGGACAGGAGAAATAGCTCATCCTCTACTAGTTCTCCGGCCTAATATCGGAGAAGTCCGTCGCAGTGTCTTGTGACAATGGTCAGGACATAGCTTTCAACTATACGGGTAACTCACCTCGCCTTAGGCCCTCGTCTACACCGCTACTAAGATGCGCAGATGATGCTTGAGACAGACGCCCCAGCTACACACCACCGAGGCAGACATGTTCGTCTCTGCAGCTACCACAAGACCCGGCGAGACCATTCCCAGTGTCCGGGTGCGTCAGTGACGGTCGTGAAGGCGTATCACTGGCGGAGGGCTTGGCTCGGACACCTGTCGTAGACTGATTTTATCGAGAAGCCCGTAGTCTCCCCGGAACCCCTTATATGTATATCGAGTCAATAAATAGGGACAACACATACTGGGATAGCCCCATATCTTTCTACATTACTTTTGATTATAGTGGCCCTCTCTACCGATCCTTAAGGTGTACGAGAAGGGCACTATAACCTATGCGTGCACAGGAACTTATTTAGTTCAGGTTCTGATCCCATATTAGCTAGTGTACAGGGTTGTCATAGATTGTTACTGACTTCATTCGGTTCCCAAATGGCTAGTGCCTCGAGGAGCACACACGGCGACAGTTGCTTCAGCTGTACCAAGGGAGAGTTCGGTCGTGTATTGAATGCCACCTGTGAGATGATTCTGCTAAATACCAACCTTGGATTTAGTTGAAAAGCGTGTCAAGAGGCTTATCTATGTGTGACTGGGAAGAGGCTTGTGGATGCCTCGATTTGGTAGATGACAAACTGCAGAGCATTGGCCACCGCCGTAAAGTTGCCTTCTTATCGGTTTTCTAAAGGATATATCACGAAGAGAATTGGATGGAATGGCATATTTAATTCTGCCTCCCACTTTCCATCGTCAGGGGACTATATAGTTAGCGAAGCATTAGCGAGACGAAGCGTTACGCTTCCACGTTTTTATGGCAAACGGCTAAGAAGCTGAATTCTTTGCTTGCAGACTTATTCCCTGAACGCTGTAACTTGAGCCTTTTCAAGGTGTTTATGCTTCATCGACGACCTCGTCTTTATTTTTCATCCAGTGAGATGGAGGTCTTCCAAATCTTCATACAAACTCAGTAACATTTTGTTCGTCGTGTGCGAAACTTGTCGCGCTTATATATTGTAACTTAAGATGCAGTAATTTAGCCATAATTGACTATGGCAAAATCAAAGTTACATGAGTTGTGTGACAGCCAATTTCAACGAACTGGTGGATTGGTGGGTTCAAATAAATGTTTGAGAGATAAGTCTAAAGACATTAACATTCTTACATTAACGCTTAGACTATGGAAACTAAAGAACATGTTATGTTGACATATATAAATCAGACGTCATATGTATATGATGCATTTCGACATTGAAAACATGTTATTGTCTTTGTTTAACTCTTGCGTGCCGTTTTAAGCCAAAAGAGACAGCATTACATTGGTCTGTGTCAAACACGGGAATCGAAAATACGTAACGTCATCTTAAATGCCAAATGTGTCCATTTCGCAGTACATGAGGTACATGATACGGTTGTCCAAGGGAAGTACATCAAATGTCAAAACAAATGTTTTTCCAAGTGTTTCATGGAATTATTCGTATGTGTTGTAATAAAATGGACAAATATATTGACAGTGAGAACAATTAAGTATTTATAAAAATTCGTCGCTGCAGCATTACGGGATGTGGCATTTGAAAAAGCGAAGATCGACCGAATGTAACATTGTACAGCCACGTGTTATTTTTCTGTCTATAAATCACACAAAAGCCCAAATATCTCGTGTAATTAGACATATTTAAGTAGTTTATTCATAAATCTTGCCAAATATTGATTTTGTTTCTTCTGCCTGTTTCTTTGTATATTTTGATGATTGTTATTTTTTTTCCATCCTCTAAACATTGACGTCACAGTACATTTATGAAAATGTTATTTAAGAAAAATATTATTTTTTTTTATGAAAAATAGTGACAAACATAACATTAGTGCGAGAAATAAAAACAAACTAGCTGTTTCTTGCAGCCGTCTTCGTAAAGTCTCAAATTCATTTAAGGGGTATACACTTCTATAATAAGGTTCCGTTTGTTATTCTAAATTTGCCATATAGTTGCCTCCGTAGCAGAATGGTCGGGTGAAATATTTGTATGGCCTACATTTATTTCTCTCGTGAGTTTGGGTATAATTTGTGATTATCTATGTGTGTCCATGGCACGCGCGACTCAGGGTTTCCCTAGTACGAGGCTAAGTTGAGTGTGTGTGTTATTATTATTAATATTTACGAGGTTTAAGACTATAGTGAAACAAAAACTTTATATTGAAGGTTAATATAAAACTTCTGCATACGTGGATGACAAATCTGTGATGGTGTCCCGTTTAGCTCTTTCAGGTATTACAGATTTAAGATGTTTAAACAAAATATTGTAATAATAAATGTATTCAAATGTATATATGTATATATATTTGACAAAGAGCAACCCCTAGAGTTTCTTGTTCATTCTTCTCAGGGGAATCTGTTTCGGAAAGATATAGAATATAGAGTTTAATCAGAATGACGATTTCAAATGTAATTTGCTTAAGAAATGATGATTACTTTACTTTGACTTTTACGATTGACATTCCAACGACGACCAATCTTGATACTTACTTACGTACTTTCTGCAAAATGAAATGCTTTTCCTTCGCCAGTATGGACACTTAACCAAAACGTCGAGGTCAAGATGCAGTCGACGGCTTTACCCTAACATATAATATGTATTCAAGGATAGAGTGAACCTGTGCTGCCTGATAACTTTGGCGGTGAAGAAATAGTGCCCGTGCACTCTGATGCCACCGGAGATGGAGAAATGGACGAAGGACTTGGGCCATGCGGTAGCTGCCCCATGATGTACTTCGTCATTACCATAGAAATCATTATTATAAGGTAAGATAATATCTATTAAGATAATTTAACTGCTGGACTGCCACGCAGAGGTCCCGGGTACGATTCCTGGGCCGGGAGAAGTATTTGTATGACCTACATTTATTTCAATTGTAATTTGTGGTTGTCTATGTGTGTCCCTGGCACCCGCGATACAGGGTTTCCCTAGTGCGGGGTTATCAGTGTGTGCGTTAAAAATATATATGCGGGGTGACAGGTTGAACGAGATCAATATTTAAAGACTTCAACTGCCTCCGTGGTCCAACGGTTATCATGCCGGACTGCCATGCAGAGGTTCTGGGTTCGATTCCCAGGTCGAGAGAAATATGTGTATGGCCTACATTTATTTCTCTCGTAAGTTTGTAATTTGTGGTTGTCTATTTGTCTATGTGTGTGTCCATGGCACCCGCGACACAGGGTTTCCTTAGTGCGGGTTGTTGTTCCTATGTTGAGTGTGTGCGTTATTATTATTATTATTAAAGAGGCAAACGAATAGTTATCTAATCCGAATATGTAAAAACCCATCTTTCGGGACAAGTTACGAGATCACCTCAGAGTGAGTGTCCTTTTTGTAAGATTTGCACCCACCGGGACTTGTCGCGGACTTTGCGCCGCGCTTGCATCCAATGGGAATCCCTTTTATTGGAAACACTTGCATCGTAAGCCCATTTTAAGCTGCTGTACAATAAACTACGTCTTCTTCACCAAATTTCGTCGTTTGATTCCTGAACGTAGTAAGGGGGTGCCAGCTAGCCGAGCGAAGCTCTACCACCTGCTACACCCCCTCATACTACAGTAGTGTTTTACGTATTCTGTATGAGTGGGTAACAGATACACATTCGCCTCTTTAAATATTTATCTCGTTCAGCCTAGAACCCTGTATAAGTATATATCGCATATCGGAGTAAGAGGTAAAAGAGGAGACGTTGAGGGAATCTCCGTCGTCACCAAGGCTCAACTCACACTGGCGCAGAGTCGAAACGTCGCGACGCGTCATGTTTTTCGCCTATAGCATATTCATCTCTATTTTCGCATTGTTAAGGTACAAATTTGTGTTTTGCAAATATTGAATCAAGCGTCGACGCGCGTAGACAACGACCTGTCAAAAGCGAAAATCGACGAAAATATCATTTGAGCTCGTAGTTTTTAAAACTTATAAATTTAATCATCTGAAAGTTTTTAATACTTATCATGTTCATAATTAACTAACTATTTTTCTTTAGAATAATAATAATATTATATAATAAAATATTTGGATAGTATACGATGTTTAAATAACATAATTGACATTGGAAACTTGTATTATTTTAAACTTTCTAATTCAAGAAGAAAAGATGGGTGTAAGAATAATTATGTACATGGCAAAGTTGTTAATTATAAATAAATAATTTTAGGGTGACTTCATTCATGGAACATTTCGAGGGTATGATCCAAGCTGAATTTGAGTTAGGCGGAGAACAATATACGAAAAACATCATGGAGATAGCGTAAGTTTGTATTTATGTAATTACATTAGTTAATTAAGTACCTCGGGGGCCGAACGTTACCATGCTGGTTTGCCAGTACGCTTCCCGGACTGGGAAAAATATTTATATGTCCGTGATCGTGAGTTTGGATGTAATTTGTGGCTGTCTACAGTCTGTCTTTTTTGAAGATGGAGTAAAATGACAGTTAATTGCGCGAAAGTGTTGCCCGCTTGCAAGCAGCTAGTGATTGCAGTCAATAAATATTCTATCGACTATCGACTGAATATTAGTCACGGTTATGCAATAAATCGTCATCGGACAATTATTCCCCCAGCTGCCGGGTGCACGTTCATTTGAATTGTCAGTTTTTGTAAATTCATACATTTTATACCTTTAGAACTATGTCAATTAAAAATACAAAGAGGAGACATTTTAGTTTTTCATTTTGATTTAATATACAAAAGTTCGCCTGTCGTTATAAAATTTTATTAGTAGCGATAGAGCTCCTTGTGAAAGAGTTCGTCCAGGAAAGTACTGTCATCTTTACTATTTCTGCCGCCAAGCAGTAATTTGTGAGCATTCCTGAGTTCTGGTTTTGAAGCGTGAGGGTGCTGGTGAAATTACAGGCACTTGGGATTTGTCAACTTATGTCTCAAGGTGACGGGCGCAGTGGGAGTGCATTCCACCAGACGCACGACTTGTTCTTCCCGTCACTTGGTAAATTATAAACAGAAAAAAAAAATATGAATAAAAAATGATTTCGATACTAGTAGGTTAACTATCGAAATAACAATAAAGAGGATAATAATAACGCTATTAGTAAAAATTAGAACGTCGGAACGTTCACAATTCAGACATTTTTGACAAAATTTAACCTACTTTTACAATCTGTCGATAAAACTGCCGACAACAATTACATGACTATTTGAAATTTTATGAAAACTGGCAAGTCTGCATGTATTACACGCAACACTACAAAACAGCAGAATAACAGTTTTTTTTGACAACAGTTTATAATAACAGTTGTTAAAAAAATCGCATGGCAGTATAATTATTTATTGGCAAATAGCCGTTTTTGCCATGTCTACTCCTTACCTTAAAACTTGAGATCCCGTGTACTGCTAGGCAAAGTTTAAATGTATTATAAAAATAATTATCATATTTCAGTGATGAAGACGACTGCGTATGCTGTGAAGGTAAAAAGAAATTTTATTCCCACTTGAACACACTATAGTACCGGCTCGCTATGATGGCCGTTTTGCCGTTTGTGCTCACGTCAAGTTTCGTATTAATGCATAACTACGTTGATATTCCTACTTGAACACACTATACACTGAAGGATTACATACACTGAAGGATTGGATAATCGTAACTGCCCTTTGAACACTTTTCTGGTTCATTTATTTAGATTCGACACATACATTTTTGCTACGTAACACGACCACAGCACATTAATATATTATACTCCACGGAAAACACGACCATTCCCGAACGCACCAAGTTGCCTGAGAGGCTGTGTGCATTGTTTGGGATGCAGGACGTCTACTCCCAAAATATGTAGCTGCGTAAGAAGTCAAAACAATCTGTGAGCCATCCGCAGTTCGTTAGCCATAAATGCTTTCGTTTCGGGCTTCAGATCCCATAGACAATAACGGACCGATAATGTGTAAATAAAAAAAAAATCAATAATACAAAATGGCGGATTTCTTTAGTGTTGTACCATAATCTATCGATAAGTCATTATCGACTTGCAAACGTGTTGAGGTTAGAATGTCGAATGACTTTTCGTAGTAACTATATCAACGTCTAATGTCGAATACCTATATAAATCACGCGCTTCTAATCGAACACCTAACTCATTTCATAGTAAGAAATTACTAAAACGAAGAACAGACGCAGCTACGTGTATCGGATTTTATTTTTCGGAGTAGAGGGCCTCTGCTTTGAGATACGGATGGTGCTGTATTATGTTGATTTTAGTTTCGTTGTTGTACCTATATGTGTATAATTGCGTCAGTTTTGCCGGGTTATATTTGTATCTATTTGTTTAAAGTATATTCGACGGCCTCCATGATCGAGTGGCTTGCATACCGGTTTTCATAGTGTCGCCATGTGTTAGGTCCCGGATTCGATCCCCATTCGATACCGTCGTTGTTTCCGATTTCCATAACATAAGTGCTTTAGGTACTTACTTTGGAATCAGAGCAACTGTGATGTTGTCTAATATAATATATAGTCAATTATTGATCAAGTGTGAGTTGTCCATAAAAATGACTACACTAAACATTTAGGGGTTTAGATATTGGTAATTTAAAATATGTACTTTTTTCTCATATGTGTAACTGTTTGTCCGTCAATAAAATAAAAAAAAGTCAAATGGTCAATTAGGGTCCACTGAAAATCAGCGTCACAGCCTTGTCCCGGCGGTGACATTAGCTGAGTGAATCCTATTACATACGCCACAGCCGCACACATGACATCTACTTAGTACAACAATAGTGTTGACCAGCTTTGTGGTCGCATAATTATTTATTGCTAAGACTTTATTTTTAATTAATTTTATTTAGTTTTCTTTTTTGTTATTCATTTTCTGTTGCGCACTTCGTTGGCGATAGTGCAATGAGTCTCCATTTCGGTAATTTAGTGGCCAAAGCAAATCCGCGTAAGTGTCGTGGCAACCAAATTAGCGTGATTTACGGGAATCTATTGTTATCATTCCGTAGACAACATAAATTAATACTTACTGTGCAAAAATGAGTCGTAGCCATTGAAATAACAAAGTAATAACGTTGAATCCCTCTCCTGTCAAATTTGGTTTAGTGCAGATACGCGCTTTTACCAAAACTACATACGCGGATTTGCACTGCCTTCGACGACTTATCTTTTAATAAAAAAAAATTATGCTTTCAATCATGGGTAGATGACGACGAAGACAGCACAACTGGAGAGATAGACACAGGCGAACCGGACGTCACCGACCACGTGTCTGGGGAACCTGACCATGATGAAGGCAGCACCAAGGGCGACGGCACGGATAGCGACGTCACTGGTGATCCTTCGTCTGACGTACCAGCTGGAGATGAAACTACTCCCGCTGAATAACGTTCTTCATTAGACGTATTAAAATTTTGGTTTATTTACGTGAAAATTTTTTTTTTACTGATTAACCTGGAGATGACGGTGCGGGGTGGAAAAAATATCTTGTGCACATTATAACAGTTGCTGTGTTGTCATGAATTGTCAACAGTTAAAATGAGAACTTTAGTAAGATCGACCCTTTCATTAGTAGAAATATGAATGTTACGGATACCGAGCAGCAAATATTCTTATTTGCTATATAATATAATATTCTTATTTATAGAGGCGTGCTCTGCACATCACACGCCGCAACGACCGAATCCACCGCCCCCCGAGCAGAGCACGCCTCGTGCTACCGTCGCCCGCGTTCGCCGACGTCCCTAGGCCCCCTTCCCCCTTCCATTAGATGGACATTGTTCCACAGTCATCTGAGGAATCTGACGCACTGACCACCGACTCCGACGACTCCTCCGAATACACCCTTGTCAAGGGTAAAAAGGGCAAGCGCTCCCGCGCTGCTAAAACATCAGACTCCCCTGCCCCTAAGGCAATAAAAGCCTAAGAGGCAAGCCCCCGCCCGTCCTCCGCGCAGAACAGATCTCTCTTCCCCGCGCATCCAAGCAGCCACCCGCTCCCGCGCCGATAACTAAAGCCCCCGAACCAGCCCCCCGCTAATAGTCATCCGCTCAAAGGCCCGTTGGAGCGAAGTTTCGACCCGCTGCAATCAACTCGGAATCAACTTCCTTAAAGCCAAGACGTCCGAGCTTGGCATTAACATCAAGGTCCCATCGCCGTCGGACCACCGCCATTTCACCCGTCTTTTAAATGATATGAGTGTAGACTACTACACTTACGCGCTCCCCGAGGAACGCGTACTCCGCGTTGTCATCCGCGGGCTCCCGAAGGAACTAGATACAGAGGTCATCGCCGCGGACCTCAAATCTCAGAAACTTCCCGTACATGAGGTTCACCGAATGTACAAAAGCCGTTCCCGCGAACCATACGACATGGTGCTCGCCGTCCTCCATCTCACACCCGAAGGCAAGAAGGTCTTCAACCTAACTACCTGTTGCCAACTCACAACTGCCAACTTTACGGACACGCGGCCCGTAATTGCCGCGCGCAACCCCTTTGCACTGCGGCCCATCAGTAGGCTAGGGCACAACCGCAGCCCCTCATGTCCATCCGCGACTTCCCGACCATCAGCCCTGCTCACGTAGCCCCATTATCGCCTCAACCACCGCCGTGGTTAATCCCTCGCGCCAACGCCCCTGTGCCCGCCGCTCCGAAACTGGCAGGCCCCATCACCGCCGCGGCCCCTAAGGCCAAACCACCGCCAGCGCCTTCTGCGCAACGACCTCCCGCGAACGCTCCACGCGCCCCCGCGCTGATACCGACTCACTCCTTTAAGGACGAACGACTTGGCACTTGTAAGCCACTTTGTTAGCACTTTCGACGTCTTCGAAGTTCAAAATCTAGCCACGCTCCTCCGGGCCATCGACGAAAACGGCACTGTGCGTCTTCAAGCCATGTCGCGAAAATTCAGAAATTTCAGAAAAATAAATTTCAGTCGAATTCATACTGAAACTGTATAAAAACAAACTCAAGAGTTGTAAAAAATACAGCGTGCAATCCCGCTAAAGTCCCGCCTCCAGACCGCGTAGGCCCCGCCATTGCCGCTCTGTTTGGACGCTTGCATAGAACCCAATGGAATACGGTTTTCACACCGGTTTCAATGTGGTAGGGTGCATAAGACTTCGAACATTACATAAATCCCGGCTCCGGAACGCTCTGTGTAGCCAGAGCATTACAGGCATTTCATGATTTAATGAAAATGCATTAACGCCTTATTATCGCTTCGTGAATTCATTAAATACGTATTAAAACTATGTGTTTTCGTTTAACTGCTTATTAATGCGAGTGCTTTATTACTGCACTTAAATGCGTTTCGAATCGAATAATTGTATGCGTCGTTATAATTAAAAGAATAATTAAATAATAAAGCAAGTTTTTAAAGTATAAAGTTGTAAACAAACATTCTGACCGACGGAAATTTTATATGAAAATAATTACAAGAAAGTTCGTAGCTTTTGTGAAAGAGTTAGTAGAATGTCCAGGGAAGTAATGCCACTTTATCAATGTCTGCTGCCAAGCAATAATGTGAGCATTACTGCATAGCGGTTTTGAAAGGTGCTAGTGAAATTAAAGACACAATGGGACTTGTCAACTTATGTCTCATGGTGACGGGTGCAATGGCAGTGCCCGTCAGGTCTTTGACTGCGATTGAGTTAGTGTCTACAACTGTCATGGATAGACGTGTCGCTTACACCAGGCGCACGACTTGATCGTTTCGCACCTTAAAAAACCCCCGCCCTTTGTGATACGGGATTCACATGTGGGGTAAAGCGGCAGATATGCAATCATAATATTTGTGTTTCAAAAACGAGCTATTCGATCTCTCAGAGAAAAGTTTAACTGATATCATGGCTGTGGCATCACATTACATTTACTGAAACATTTACAACGGCGATAGCCTTAACGGCCGTAAAAATATAATTACGTAATATTTTTTAGATAAGTAAATATGCATAATAATTAACCTTTAAGAAAGTAGATATCCGTAATATTAACATTGGAACTAAGTCCAAACTCGTGGTAGCACAAACGGTTATTAGGGAACTGGAAACACTGGAAACATTTTTACAATAACATTCCGGAGCATAATATTAAAATTATCATTTCCTAAGTTTAAAACTTATATTAAAACTATTTTAATTGAAAAGTGGTATTGGGAGTACGTGTTAATTAACTTTGTATGGAAAGATGACATAGCACTAGATTCCACACAAATTGATTTAATGTGTGTTCCATAGCATTTAAGTTTATTTGAAAAGAGATCTCAATCCCTAGAATATCTTGCCCGTTCTGCTCAGAGAAATCAGCACAGTGAACGAGCAGTAGCTTAAAAATGACGTTTTCAAGAGTAAATTTATTTTAAGAAAAAAAAAACACTAAACTAGGGATTTTTATCAACAATCGTTTGTTTAAACAATGATATGTAAGATCATATTGCATTATTATTTTAGTTGTACAATCTACAAATTGTCAATTAAAGAGTTCTTAGAAAAATGTCATTATCACAAATTAATCCGTTACTGCTGTGTAGGTCATTGACTTACAATTATATGGACGTCGGGTCCGCGCTAAAAAGTGTCCCAACTTATAGGGCGTTAAAATCGTATACACAGCGTCATTCACGCTTTAGTCTTCGTTTGTTCGACTGACAGCGAAGCAAGCAGAATTAGACAGTACTGGGATGACATTACAATTTAAATTCAACGTTTTAGCTTTTTCATATTCTTTTACATGTCACTACGTTTAAATAGGTTGACTTGGAACATTTTTTTCGTGGTTTTTGTATTAGACCCGTCGTCCATTTATTTGTAAGTCAATGTTTTCAAGAGTAAATTTATTTTAAGAAAAAAACACTCAACGTGGGATTTTTGTCAAGAATCGTTTGTTTAAACAATGATATGTAAGATCATATTGCATTATTATTTTAGTTGTACAATCTACAAATTGTAAATTAAAGAATTCTTAGAAAAATGTCATTATCACAAATTAATCCGTTGTGCATAATGTTATTTTTCAAGCAAACTCATAGTCTTCTCGAGAGTCCAAGGTTAGTCGTTTGAATTTGACACTTAAGGCAGTCTTCTATTGGGGCGATGCTAATCTTGTCAAATTTAATGCTTCTAAAATGCAGGCGTGTGTATTCTCCACAAAACGGAGCCTCTTTAACCTGACTCAGACTTTTCATGATATATTCTTACCGATAGCCGACTGTCCAGCTACTTGGAATGGACCTGTCGTCCAATCTGAACTTCGGCAGATACATTGAATCCATGGCCAAATGCAGCCAGGAAGCTTGGCATCCTTTCCAAGGTGAGTCATTACTTCACACCGGGACAGTTGCTTCAGCTGTACCAAACTCAAATCCGGTCGTGTATAGAGTACTGTTGCCATTTATGGGATGGCTCTGCTAAATACTGTAACTGAGACGTAGCTCGGATTGCGTAGCGAGAGGTACTTTTATGAATTTAAACTGGAATAATCTTCAAAACATGGTTCATTGCACTTTTTTACATGCTTATAGTGTTGGGCTATATTTCGATCTAACAAGATGCTCTATTCTTTTCCTTACTTCATTTTTCAACACACATTCTAATTACAAAACTATTCATTCAGCCAGTGATTCTACTCATAGAGTAGAGCCTAGACTACAATACCAACTGGCCACCTTCGGAATGAGTAGAGGCGAACGATGGAATTGCATAACTTGATTCCGCCTTACCTTTTCATCATCGGGGTACTAGACGTGGACTGTGGTATGGACGTCAAATGTACACTTATCTTTTATATAAAAAAAAGATGGCGACACTTAGTTACATATAATCTCAGTACAGAGTACTAAAAAAACTGACCTCAAAAGTACGTGGAATTACGTCTATTTGCTAAGTTTTATTGAAATATCCTTAAATTCGCCACTGTACAGGACTTGACACTGGAGATAATAAAAATCGGTCTCACTACTCAAAGTATATTGAGAGAAAAACGCCTTGAATTGGAGAAATAGCAAAATCAACCATTAAAATAATTGCTACTTAGTAAAATTTAGGCGCTATTTATAAAAATTAATCTTCACGCGTGAACAGCCACCCTTAGAGGTGGATGATTTTCTTCAAAATGAAATGGGACCACTATGGAAGTACCCCCTTTCCAATAAAAAAAGAATCATGAAAATCGGTTCACAAATAACGGAGTTATCGCATAACATACATACAAAAAAATACAGTCGAATTGAGAACCTCCTCCTTTTTGAAGTCGGTTAAAAATATAATAAATAAAATATGAATTATGAAATCTCGAAAATTTGAGGTATGTCAAATTAAATAATGCTCTGGCTACACAGAGGCGGTAGCGGGAGCGTTCTGAGGCTACGAATTTTTGTAATGTTCGAGTTTTATAGTATGCCGGGGCCGAAGCTATGACAAAAAGGCGAACGCGAGGCGGTTGAGGGCGCAAAGCTGTATTCCATTGAGTTCTATGCAACCATCCACACAGAGCGGCAACGTTTCAGTATGAATTGGACTGAAATTTCTTCCGTAACGCGAACAAAAGCAGAATTTTTTTCTTGAACATTATCCGACAGTGATGGGAAGCGTTCTTTAAATCTAAATAGAATGTTAACCGGCCGCCTTTGCGCCGTTGTCCCTCTGCGAACCACGCATGGGTCTGCCGTGTGGCACGCCCTGACACGGATTCTCTTCCAACAGGTGCGCCCCTGAACCGTTTTTTATGCTGTACCGCGTACCTATGTGAGGCCTGAGCTTGAATATGAAATATTTAAAAAAACGCATGACTATTTAAACCACATTTTAGAAATGTTCAATTAAAATTCTTTTACAATGTAAATTGGTGAAAACAATTATTGAAAAGATAACAAATCAAAGGTTAATATAAAGGTAGTTAAAATAAAGGTTATGACGAATCCTTTCGTTCTTTTCTCCATTGCTACTAAAATATATATTTTAGGTTTTTATGAGAATCTCATTTATCTCTAAATTGTGAATTGCTTCTTGTGCCTCTCTTCTCCCGAAGGCTGTATAATAATATAATATACTATGTATAATAATATATATACGATGCCATACCGGGTCCATTTTAACGTAAATACATTTATGGCTAACTCGCTTAAATCAATACACGAGTAGTTTGAAATTTTCCAATCAATTTTCGATAATCGTACATAAGAAGTTAACAGGTTTTCTTAAATTGGCTATTTGAAAGAGTTACCTTCATACCTCAGTTTAATAAGTTTTTTGCTTTGGTACAAATATAAATATAATGATTTGGATTGTTCTTGTACTATGTAAGTGATGTTTTTAATTTGCTGTCAGTTATCATAAGGTAATCAGTGTGTTACATATCGCGTTTATCAATAGTGGACATAACAATGTTGTATTTCAATAAAACAGAGAAGAATTAAGATATCGAGACAAAATTTATTCCAGGTGCAGTAAACATGTTACAATCAGAATGGAATTCGATCTCGTTCATATGACCACCGCGAGTACGTTTGCAGCGTTAAATTCTTTGGAGCCAATTTTCCACCACTCTGCCACACATATCGGTTGAAACGTTATCAATTTCGCGTTATATATTGTTCTTGAGCAAATTTAACGTTGTTGTTGTTGTTGACATTAACCAACGACTAAACGTAACCCCATAAAAAGTTATCTAAAGGCGTTAGAAATTCGAAATTATCAAACTTCCTCTTCAATAGATCGCTTGTTTGGCCAGCTGTGTGACCGCTGTCTTAAATGTAACATGTGTACTGGATCTGGAATAAATTTTATATCTGTGGTTAAAATATATTTATTTCTATTAAGAATATAAATTCACTTACAGAGAAAATTTAAGATCTTACTTCAAAACTTAATAGTAAAGCGCACTAAAATCTATACAACCATCACCATTCTATGCGTATTAAGAAAAATAATGTAGGTAGACAAAAATTAAAATCATACGTTTTGAGTTGAATTTATCTGCAATTAGTTCCGATGAAGGTAGTTGCACGATGCGGCCGAATATCTCAATTATTCTATGTTTTATTGTAATACAAAATTGTTATGTTCTTATCCTATAGTAGTTTGCATAGCTTCCAGATAAGACCTTTTAGTTTCTATTCCTACAGCGGAATACCACTGAGTTTTTTAAACTAAAATGTATTGAATAGGCCTTTCGAAACTGATACTTAAATACAGGGTAATAATTAAATTTATCCACGCTGAAGTATACAAGGCATAACAAAAGAAAAGCTGTAGAAGCATGTATGGATATAGAATAATTTATTTATTTTGTTATAAAAAAAAACTGACCTTAAAAGTTCGCTGTATTTTCTTTTGCTCATTAGAGTTTGCATTATTTGCCAAGATTTATTGAAATCGGTTGCAAGAAAGTGGGTGAAATTTAACAAACCGATTTCATCCCCTAATTTGCCTCCCTTAGAGGTGGAATATTTTCTCCAAATTTAAGTAGTACCACTACTGAGGTGCTCTCTTTCTAACAAAAAGAAGAATCATCGAAATCGGTTCACAAATGTCGAAGTAATTGCATGAAATACACAAAAAAACAGACGAATAGAGAACACGCGTACTTACTTACTTCGCTGGCTCAGTGACCCGAAGTGGATCTTGGCCTCTGATACCAAGGTACGCCATTTCTGTCTGTCTTGTGGGAAGTATGACCATTCGGACACATTTGGTTCCTTTAGATCTTTGGCGACTTCACCCTTCCAGCAATATCTTGGACGGCCCACTAGACAATGACCCGTCGCCCTGAACACGCCCTTTTGGCAGCTCGATCATCTCCCATTCTTTCCACATGACGTAGCCAGCGAAGTGGAGCACATTTTATTTCCTCGGCGAATAGAGAACCTCATCCTTTTTTAAAGTCGGTTAAAAATATTTTAAAAGATAAGGACAATCATGCTAAGCTGAATTTCAAACGTTTCTAGTTGGAGAGATACTTTATGAAGAAAATGAAATAGTTTAGCCATATACCTAAGCATTGTGTATTTCTGTTGTGGATGTAAGTACGTTTATTTCTGTGAATCATCTGAACCTGAAATGATTTCATTGATTTTGGATAATGATTTCGATTCAGATCCTTTATGATTCATAAAGTCCTATAGCATAATGTTTATGGCAAAAAAGCAAAAAGTACAAAATGACTGGCAATTTTCTGAGTTAAAAAAGTTTTTTCTAAAGTAAATGCGAACGTTTTAGGAATCGACATAACGTCCTTAAAATTTGAGGAAACATTGCAGGTCTATCGATCCAAGTATTAGCAGAAGATATATCCGACGACTACACTGGAAAAGAAGAAGAATCGCAAAATATTAATGCCGACGAAAACTTAATGCTGCGAAAAAATCTTGGTCAAAAAAACGAAGACAAGGTTCAGACAAGACGAATGTTTGATTGGTTTAAGAACCTATTTGGTCTTAAACATGATGCTGACGATACACCTGTTAAACACGTTAATAAAACAGGACTAGAACTGAGAATAGAAAAAACTGAGGAGAATATTCTTGAAACTATGAACAGAATTGCTGATGCTCTAGAGAAGATCAGTAACAGTGTCGATATACAATTACACATGATGGTACCTTTTGATAAAGGTTTTGATATAAATTCCCATCATGACAGCACAAGGGATAGGGACAGACATAATATTAACAAAACTGAAGAGTCATTAGAGAGTAATGTAACTGAAAAGCTGCCAACAGTAGACATCATGGAACCTATATACAGAATAGCAAATACAATAGAGAAAATCAATAACAATATGGAGTTACAGTTACATATGTTGTTAGCTAAAAAAGGAGCAAAAAGCCTGAATAAACATGCAAGGAATACCAGAAGAAACACTTTTGAATGGATGTATAGCTTAATATTTGGTAAAAATAAAACTGATCAGTTACCATCTGAGAAAGGTAATACAACTTTATATGATTTGCTAACAAAGCCCTACGATGAGAATGCTGAAGGCGATATTCTGGAAGCCGCGGATAGAATAGGTTTTGCTCTAGAAAGGATAAACTCAAATCTAGAGCTACAATTACATATGAAACTAGATTGTAAATGTGAAGAACAAACTCGAGTTAAAAGAAAATATGAAATTCATAAACGAACTGCTAGAATGGATAGAGATTTTTATGGAATTGTAAAGAATTTGGAAGAAAATGTACGCCTGAAAGATAGTAATATTAGAAGTAAACGAGACGTTGAGGAAAATGATACAGAATTTAAAGTTTTACAAAAAAAATTGTCAGAAAACACAGTGGCACCTTTATCACAGATTGTAGAAGCACCTGACGATAATGTAAAGACAACGAACGCACCTTCATTAATGACAATTGAAACTGAAGCAGACAAAAAGGGAAACCGTAAAATATCAAGACGACAGGACTCTGACGAAATAAAAACTAAATTGTTAAATTATATTTATGAAAGTTATAACGAAATTACAAACAAAATTGATCCATTATCAAAAATAAAAGCCCAATACCAGAATGAAAATTTGTATAAAATTGGATATATAATGTCAAATATTGATACTTTGGAGGTGAATTTGAAAAATATGAAAAAGGAAGTTGACGGTAATAAACAGGAATTTGAGGAAACAAAAATATTAAACATGTTAGATACTTTCATGGCTTCCAATAGAATAGTCTCGAGTCTTATTGACAGTTTAAGATTGTTAGCGAAACCTATAGACGTAATGAATATGCCACAACAAACAACTAATAGTCCGGTGTTAACATTAATCTAAAACCTAAGAAGTGTAATTTATGTCCTCGCCTTGAAGAACTAAGTACTTGACCTAATTACTGGAGTTTTAATGTCAGAAGTCAATACAGACATCACCGTTTCTAAGGACTGCTCTATGCTGAATTGATGGCCAATATTCATTAGTTCGAAAGGTACTACAAGAAGTAGAAGAGGCGATCGATCGCCATTTTTCACGGCCCTGACAAACCCTTTCTTGTCTTAAGTACATTTAACAATCCTTTGTTATAAGCCCTCTTATTCTTAAATATTTTTAATAAAAACAAAATATTTCAGCCTAAAAATTGTTGTGAGAAAAGAAATACATTTAAACTATACACCAAGCCTCTGGAACCCATGTATATCACAGGCAAGGTACTCCCAGACCAACCGTATGAGTACTCAGTTACCACGCTTTCACGTACATTAATGGCGAATCTAAATTTAAATTCCTCTGAATAATACAACCGTGCGGTCGCCGCGTAGACCGAAAACAAGCCAGCCTCGCCCGCGCGTCTGTGGTGCTCATTTAAGTTAAAACGTAAAATTCAAATAAACAGAGCGTACTTTGCCATGACAAGTGCACGCGGTCGCTGCGCGTGGCAGCCGCGCGACCTGACCGCGATGAAATTCGTGTCGAATAATTCCGGGTTCATAAGTCTTCACGAGCAGGTAGGCCTGTTCACGAGTCGCTCCCTTGCGTTGCGTGAGTTTGATATCTAGCAAGCTTGATATTTCCACACAAGCAACAGGGAACGTTGCGGAGGCCAGCACCACTGGTCAATCAGGTCAGAGCAGCAGCGTCTATGCGTCCACTACAACCAAAACAAAGGTAAGGCGCCGTGCATGCGCGCAAGTCTCTCCGCAACGCAAAGTGGAAGACTCGTGAACGCCTTTGCGCGGAAGGCAGATTTCTACGCCGTGTACCTAGCCAACTGAAGCAAGCGAAAAACGCAAGTCAAAGATACGTGAACCGTGAATAAATGCGCCCTCACGCACGCGGTACATCAGGGAGGCAGTTCTCTTGCGTATTACATCAGTGTGATAGACTGAGTGGGGCAGTCTTCGCGTTGCGTATAAACTAAAATTGCTCATTTCTGACTCTGCATTAAGGATTTAATTGCGCATTTCCACTATTTCCACTTGCTGATGTAGTACGGTTCACTCATGTGGGGTAACTCCACAGATGTCAATAGAGTCATGCCAATGCAAAAAACGTGCAGTACGCGTATTGGTTGGATTGAAACACAGACATTACTGTAGAAATCTATTTGTGCCTAGTGCGTCATATCATATTGTACATTTATAATCAGAAAGTACATTAGAAATAGTCTTTCTTCATTTATTACCATAAATGTTTCTGGCATCCTACCTCGCCGGGCTGGTCATTTTAGAACAGGCCCTGACGTATAGCACTTGCAGAGAAAAACCCGCGTGTCATCGGACTCACTTGCTATGAACATTAAGGTGGCGGCTGAACGACCTTTTCTTGGAAAACCCTTTATATTCTGTAAATGAACCTCAAAATGTAACGCTGTTGAGTATTTTCTATTTTATTTAATTTCTTTCGCTTTGACATACTTTTATACTATTTCCTTCTATTTCATTTATTACGGTTGACAAACTTATGAAGATCCTTGATGAAGAATGGTATTTCATATGAAATTTAATGACAACAATATTATTATTAACTAATTGTTAATTTTATAATTAGTGCTTATTTATCAATTTATAGTTTTCATTTTTGATTGACGATCTCAATGTAATGTCCTATACTTTGACATGTAGTGCAATTTATACTGTATAATATTATATTTGAGAAATAAATTAATCTGAATCTATTATTGCTGAAGTCAATACGCGCCTCTGCGAACATTCCGGATACACTGCAAAAGCGTGGCAGTCCTAACAGCATCCTTAAACCGCAAACTAACTCCTGAATTTATTAATTTATTAAACCTTTTTTAGTGTACTTTGTCCACAAGCTGCACATGTACCAAGTTTGACAAAACGCCTTGAAAAGAGTAGTTTTAATGATAGAGACATCACAACGCGCAAACATAACATTACAAACCAATGTAGGTTTAAGGGTGTGATGTATATATGTTTTTGTAATATTCTTAGTGTTTAAAAAAAAAAAAAAAAAAAAAAAAAAAAAAAAAAAAAACGTCCAAGGACTTTCGCCCCCTCTCCATATCATTATAATCGTTGCGGAAATCCAGTGTTCAAGGTTTGGAGAGGAGTGCTGCACAGATATGTACCGTGGGGATTGAGGAGAGCGCTTTGTTACCTGTTTTGAACACTAAGGCTGGTTTCAGAGCAGTGCGGACCGCCCGCGTGGAGCACCGGTGAAGAGTAACACATGTGGAGTTTGAACATGGTTTTACAGTGACGCGGATTGCACCGTACGGAACACACTACGCGTGAACTCCGCACAAGCTACCCGTGCGTTTATTGTAGGCCGTCTTCCGTCTAAATCAAATACTCGATTCAGAGCACTGCGGATTCTACGCATGCGGATGGCCCGCAGGCGGATAGTCCGTACGGACCAGGGGGTCTACTCTCGATAAGTACTACTACTCTCGTCAAATAAGTAATATTCGACAAAATTAAAAGACAAGTATAAAGAATGAAGCTTCATTCGCATCACGCGTCTTTTCATTTGGTCAAGTAATGCTTATTTGGCAGTAATTGTTTCGGACGGATGTCGGACGGAGATGAGAGTAGACCCCCAGCTGTGAAAAAAGCCTAATGATTGGGTCTTCGCGTACTCCTCACAAATTTTTAAGCTGATGCTCGACAAAGCTCGCGCATACCGAGGAAGGTTTTGGTTCGTGTCACACCAACAATGTCACAACAATTGACCATAAAGTTCATTATGCTATGTACAATATCGTTACAAAAATTCGCTTCCATTCCGTTCCGCCGCAATATAATTGAGCCTTAGTCTTAGTCTTAGCAGACTGATCGACGGGCATAGATCACCAGCGTAGCTTATATTTTTAAGAACATCCTTAAGCTGGATCATTTTGCCATCCTTATCATAAGTAACGCATGTGCATTTCGGTAACTTTCGAGATATAGGCACCTAAGGCGGAGGCCACAATACTGCCCTCAGAACGAAAAAAATTGTTGTGCCTTTCTTCGTTACAAGGGCAGAGTCCAATAAATACAGTAGAAGTGTTAGTTGGTGTGGTACACGTGCCAACAGTACGCGGGGTTCCATACACATGAGCTCAGTCCGCCATTTTCGTTTAGTACTTTGGTAGTGTCAAATATCTCATGTAAAATCTCGTTAATGCTATTAATCGTTCGTCGTCTTTCAACTGTTACCTCTAAATGGCAGCACATTGAATGACGTCGCATTAACTTTCATCGATATGCCAACTGGGTAAAGTTTAATTTATATTCATCATATCAGCCGGAAGACGTCCACTGCTGAACATAGAACTCCCCCAAAGATTTCCACACCAGCCGATCGGACGCGACGTGCATCCATCGGTTATCCGCCGCTTATCAGGTCATCCGTCCATCTAGCAGGGGGCCGTCCCACTGAACGCCTTCCGGTTCGCGGTCTCAATTCAAGAACCATTCTGCCCTATGTGCCCTGTCCGCTGCCACTTCAACCCGCTAATTCTTCGAGCTATGTCGGTGACGTTCGTTCTTCTACGGATCTCATTATTTCTTATCCGATCACGTAAAGAAACGCCGAGCATTACTCGCTCCATCTAATTTATATTAACAGTACAGAATTTCTTAAACCATTTTAAATTAGAAACTGCGACCAATCATTATCAAGATTTTATAGTTCTATAAGTGTGAGGTTTGACAAAAATAATCGAGGCTTTACACCGGGTCTATCTAAAGAAAGAAAAGAAAAGAAAATCAGAAAGCGCAATCAGAGCTACCGTTAATTACTACATTAGGCGAAAGACTGGTGTATTTGCATGTTTTCTCGACCTGTCGGGGGCGTTCGACCAGGTCTCCTACGACATACTACGGAAGAAACTGATGGATGCACATGTCCCGTCCCAAATTATTAATATCTTAAAATACTGGTACGGAGGCCAGGTAAACAATGTTCGATGGACAGGATCATTCTCAAAATCATATGCGCTGGAGTGTGGAGAGAGACAGGGGGGTTTGACCTCGCTCGCACTCTTCAACGTCTATGTTAACGGGCTGATCAGCGCGCTCAGCAGCACCCATGTCGGCTGCCACATCGACGGAGTATGCATCAACAAATCAGCTACGCGGACGACATGGTGCTGCCGAGTGCGTCCATCTGCGGTTTAAAAAAACTAGTCAGTATGTGCGAGGAATATGCGAAGGGACATGGTTTGTGTGTGACAAGGGGCATGTCTTTGAGGCTGGCGGTAAAATTCCTAATAACATACCACCTGTCAAGTTGAATATCCATATAGTGTATCCTTGTAAAGAGTATATCAATTTAAATATCTAGGACACATAATTGCGCCCGACCTCAAGGACAATGACGACATTAAGAGGGAAAGGAGGGCATTATCGCGACGAGCGAACATGATTGCTCGCAGGTTTGCATGGTGTTCTAAAGAGGTTAAACTCACACTTTTCAGAGCCTACTTTTTACACGTGTAACCTGTGGGCTAAATAAAAATAAATAAATCATTTATTGTCTCAGAATAACATTTTTCTTTTTTTAAATTTATACATAGCAAACAAGCCAACACAAATTAAAAAACAAAACAGTAAAAGTAAATTGAGACAAAAGGCTTATGCTGTAACGGCGTTGGTAGGTACCATGCAGCGCTGTTTTTCAACCTCTGCCTACTCCCCTATGGTATTGAGCGGGAGTCATTTCTACGAGAGCTTTCATCTTATATCTATTCCTTATAAACTAGCTCGTAACGATATTCAAAATAAAAAAATCACATAATATTATAATTATAGTTATTGGCATAATACTAACTTAAACCTTTTCTGATTAAAGAGGTAAGACAACGATTGGTAGATTGTCTAGTACTTTCTCAACTTGACTATGGAGACATAGTGTACGGGGCTTGTTTACTAAGAAAAGTAGAAAAGAAAATCCAAAAAGTACAAAATTCATGTGTTAGATACTGTTATGACGTTCCTCCTCGTATAACTTTAAGTGAGTATATATAATAATAACATATATATATATATATATATTATTTTGTGATATCTTTTGGAGCTACTCGAGACGCGTCAGACAAATATTAAAATATTATATTTAATTAAAATGTAGCGAGTTTCAAAAAGGTAGGGTCTGAAAAACAGCTTAAGCTGAGACTCTATCCTTTTTATCTACACAGTATCTATAAGTGATGTTATTTACGACTAAATTGTTTTGTAAATGTTGATAAATAAAGTTCTTTATTATTATTATTATTATTCTTTATTATTATTATTATTAATAATAATAATAATAATTAATGTCAAAAAAAATAAAAGAGAAAACAATACAAGTAAACAAGTTCATGGGGCTCGACACTGTGTGTTGTGTATACGTGTGCGCGAGTGTTATGTCTTTTGTTACTTCAATTCAATTGTTATTTATCTTAGGGATTTGTGTCAAAAGTATTTTACTATTTTCATGGTTTTACAGTAAGCATGCTTCAAGTTTTCTGCAGCAAGTTGTCGTCGTAATAATGTTTAGGAATTAATGCTTATTTGATTCCTAAGGGCGCGTTCCCACTATGTCGTGACGACAGATTGTCGTGCAGTTTACAGTGTTGTGACTTGTATATTTAAATGAAATTGTTCACGTATAGCACGTCACGATTAACTGTCATTCACGATTTTTTATCGTTACAACGACAAACTGTCGTCACAGTGGGAACAGCTAGAACGACAGTCGTCTGACGATAAAAAAACGTCACGATGAAAACGTGACGACAGATTGGCGCAACTCCTATTGTCGTCACGTTTTATTTATCGCTGTCCGCACGTATTTTGCTCCCTGCCCTCCCCTCTCGTACCCCGCGCCCTCTGCTCGCTTTACAGTAGCGTTGGGTCGTAGCCAGAGATGGGCAGGGAGGCTGTTGTGAAACGATAAATTGTCGTCACGATCTAGTGGGAACAGCAAGTCACGACAGTCGTTCAACGATAAAAAATCGTCCACGACAGATAGTCGTGATATGGGAACCGGCTAGACACGACAGTCGTCCAACGATAATAAAACGTGACGACATAGTGGGAACGCGCCCTTAGCGGTGGGGGCAAATCAGTCCAGATACCTGTGCACAATACTTGAAACAGCCCTTGTAACGTACAGTTTTATGTTTAGGTACACATAATGAATTCAAAGTGACAGATCGGAGACCCTTATGTACAGTATCTTTTTTCCACGTGAGTTTTTCAACAAGGTATTCAGGGTTTTTACTCCATATTACCTTTTGAATGCAACAGGCATATTGTAGTTCTCTTCTAGCACTCATGTTTAGAATCTGATTTTGATTCAAATAGGGTGTTATGTGTTCTCTTTTTGGTATGTTAAAACAGAATCTGGCGCAAGCATTCTGGACTCGCTAAACAGATCGCTCCATGCTATTATTTAACCGGGGACCGAAAACGGAACTACAATAATTAAGTTGTGACACCACAAGAGCTTCAGTCAAAAGCACGCGTATTTCTTCTGTTATATATGGTCTTATTTTATAAAGGGTTTTAAATCTAAAAAAAGCGTTTCTAATCTTACTGTTGACATGTTGTATGTACTTTTGTTCCTCATCCACGATCAGACCAAGATTACGAGTGGATGTCACTCGTTCTAAAGCTATTCCATTGATTTTAAACTGCTCCTTACAATCCGTGACCATTTGAATTTGATGTTTGGTACCCTATACTAACATTTGAGATTTCAGAGATTTCAGTACCAATGAGTTTTTTTCTGACCGTTTGTATATATTGGAAAGATCATTATTTATAACATTTGTAGCAGTTTTAGCGTCACGTCCCTCAAAGGAATACTACAGTTGGGTATCATCAGCATACAGGTGGTACTTACATGATTGTATGTGTCTAGGTAAGTCTGCTGTAAATATTGAAAATAGGATGGGACT